AAGACATTTGAGCCCCCAGTGAATCATCATTATTCAGTGTGTACCAGAGGAGATATAATAAGGAAATTCTATAAAGCAACACTACAACAAACAACAAAGTTTCTAATTTGCTGCAAAGGCAATGTTTTATGTTCTGCCTGAAGTGTTTAAACTTTGATTTTTGACTTTTGAAACATATTTGCTCTCAAAGAACAGGGCTTTTTTTGAACTGGGTTTTTGCAAAAGAGTGGATGTATTCAAGACATCTGCTGATATCTATTATATCTTCCTCCATCCCCGACACACCCTCTGGTGTATTGGTTCGTTTGTTTTCTTGTTACTTTGCAAGATTTCACAAAAAACTATGTATTTCCATGAAATCTGGTGGAAGGGTACAGTATGGGTCAGGGAAGAACTCATAAAGTTTGGTGTGGTTCTGGATCAGTCCATTTTAACAGGGGGTTTACTTGTGCTCATTTTCTCTTGGAACTGGATCAGGGGACTAATCCAGAAATTTCTTTATCACTATCTTTCCATTGTGAGATGCTATTATGGTGTTTTATTATGGTTGTGTTGCACTATTATTACACTATTGCTGTATATCCAGAGTTTTTCTTATACATACAGAATATTGGAAACACTTCATTGTATTGCAGTCTAGTATAAAAACATATAATACAGAAACTATATACAGAAACTCAACATTATGTTAAAAGTTCACTGTATAAGGATAATAAAACAGACATTGTATTAGAGCTTACAAGTGTTCCTAATAAAGTGGCCACTGGGGGTATTTCTCCTGTATGATTTTGCATCTGTTAGGGGTAAAAGTATGTGAAGATGTGTGAGTATATGTGTTTGGAAGGAAAACATTTAAATTATGAGCAGACGAGATGTAGAAAGCAATCTCTTATTTCAGGATTACTATGTTGACCTGTCCGTCCACCTCCCACCAATAAAGGAGCTCAGGTGATCAGAAACATAATGACTTTCGTCGTTTGAACAATTGATGATGCAAGTTTTTTTACTCTTTTGTTGCTTTTAATCTCAGCTGAAAACATCTGCAGGCCACAAATGTCTCAGGTCACAGCGGCCGAGTGTTTGACAACCAAAAGACGAATTTTCAGGGGGAGTCTTTCCTTTTGAATAGCCTCCTGTTTTTCGTCATAAGTGCATAGTGTAAATGTCAGTACAGCAAGTGTTGATGGCGGCTCACAGCCCTATTGGCTGTATACTGTAAGTTCACTAATGTCTGAGACTGGCTGAAGTATTAATTTATTGATTTTGAATTGCTAGTAAAAGCATCTATAAACACTGCAGCGCCAAAACAGCAGCACAGACATTCGTCTTACTTGATAACTGAAGGTGACTGTTTCTTTACGAGTCCGTGACGTAGTCCTGTTTGAGTTTTAACGCCCTAAGAATATTTTAACGTCTTTGCTTTCACTACAGTATAGGCATGTCTATCTCCTTTTTATCTGTTTAAAACTTTTTTTTTTTGCCATTTCAGCTGACTCGCACTCCTGATTAATCTTGACAGAGGGAAAAAAATGTAGTTTGATTAGTGTCTCCACATAAGTGCTCCCTGCTGATGAAATTAAAATTCTGCAGTCTATCGGTCACAGACATCTCAGCCTGGGTTGGTGCAGAAACCAGCCACACAACAGTCAAGTAAAAACAACTGAAGTTGTTCAAAATTGTGGTGTTTTTCATCCAAAGTTGGAGACATGTGTACATTAGGGACTTTCTTCTTCTTATGTCCTCCACTTATGTCATGTCTTTTTCTGCGGAGGATATATCAAAGTCTCTGACACATAGCGGGAACCCCCCCCCCAACACACACTGGACCCCAGAATGTTTGAGTGTTGATGAGACTGCAGAGAGCCGCACTCCAGGTCCAGTCCACCTTCACATATGGTCTTGCTTTTGACTGTGGTTTTGGCTGTGGGTCCGCCTCTCCATACTTTCTGGTTTCAGCATTTCATTTTCATTTGTGTGAGGTTACTTTCACAAATAGTTTGGGGGTGTTTTGGGGGAAGAGGGGGAAAAAAATGCATTTCTGAAGCCAAACATCAGATTTATGGAACTGATTGAGGACGTCTCCTCCAGGGATGTTTTAGGTCTGCAACATCAGCTTTGGGAATAATTTGAATAATTTAAAATGTTTCAGTTTATTGTTATCAAAGTGGGTTTCTCTTTTTGTCTTATGTTGTCCAGCCATATAAATCCCAAACCCAGTATTGCATTATAGGAACGTTTGACAGTTAGACCTTTTTGCTTTCTTGCCAGTACCATCAGCAGCCATTTAGCTTCCCATTTAAAGTCCATGTAAGAGTTGCTGGTAGTCTATGATAACAGCATCAATCTTTTCTCACTGTGCTGCCAGCAAGTGAATAAGCCAATGAGAACTTAAACAGCTTAAATAGCCTTATACAGCTCCAGGTCCAAAAGGGGTGGCTGTGGCTGAGGGGGTAGAGCGGTTGGCAGTCAGATCCCAGTCTGTATGCTAAAATGTCCTTGGGAAATATTCTGAACCCCAAATTGTATAGAAAAAGTGCTGCCTGTAGATGTACTGTATGAATCTGTGTGTGTGAAATGGCAATGGCAATAAAGTGTACTGTAAAGCACTTTGAGTGGTCATCTATATAAATACAGAACACAATTAGACCATAAAAGTCTGAGACCACTTTCCTGTTCACTTGAATGATCATTTATCTTTGGCCTTGGATATGAATCCCAGGAGCGTACCAGCAGCAGGCTTACTGAACCTACGTCGTCATGGTAACAACAGTGAACAGTCAGGATTTCACAAGTGAATATATTTTGTGGATCCATACATCCGTTCCAACCTCGTCTTGATGTAGATTTTGTCGCTCTGTATATTACCTCAGCTGCAAAAATAAAAAGGTTTGGAAAAATCTAAATATCAAGGCAATTTACTGCACTAGATTTAAAAAATTTTAATCTCCAGAGGGTTTGAAGAGAATCACCTCCAGCTGTGCCAACTATTATCTTTTCTTCTGATATAATTATAGAAACGTAACATTTTGTGTTCTAACAACCTAGAATACCTATCCCATTTCTCACCAGGGTCAAGTGGGATTTATTCAGTATATCTCGTATGTAAACAGGAAATTCGTCTCTCATCGTTAACAATTATGTTTGCTAAATTAAATTTTATGAAACTAGTGTCGTGCCCGTTCTGTTTGGAATTTCTTTCTAGAACTGTATTGACCAGCTCCACAGAAACATGAAGCAGCACCTGTTTGTTCAAAGTTTATTTATATTGAATGTATCGTTTGTCCAAATCGCACCACATTCTACACTGCACTTCCCCTAGGTCCTTGACAATACACACCCCAAGTGTGAAGCCAATAAGTTGAATGGTTCTCAAGGTACGTGAACTGCAGACGGAGATTTCTGGCATTATTTGATGGAATAATGACACTGACCTATATGATGTCAGGTTTCTTTGATGAGAAGTGGGTCAGAACATGTGGACATAAACCCTTGCGCAAGTGATCAGTAGACCCCGGTTTTAAATTGCCAGGCCTCCACTTTGTTCAAAACTCACTATTTCGTATTTTGCTACTGTATCAATGGCAATTTTAATGAATTTAGTTGAAACAAACACTTTCCCAAGTTTACAGAGCCATTAAATATTCTTTACACACTTTATTTAAGAATTATAATCAGCCAAGCAATTTCAGGTTTTCGTTTTTAAAGTGTAACATGGAAATATAACCTGCTTTCACTGTGGGACCTTTTTTACTGGAATTTGAATGAACTACTCATACAATGAATCTGTAACTAGCCAAATACAAACCAGACACTTGATGCAATGACATCTCTGTTTATTGTATTATAGATGCTCATTTCATTTGCACACATTTTTTGTTTTTGTACATTTTATCGTGTATTTCTGTATCTGGTATCAACTCTAAGAAATTCACATTTACATAATGCTTTTTACATTAGTAGGTAAGTAGGAGTGACATTCAGTTTTGTTTTTTTCAGGGAGCAGGTCCTGATCCAACTGTATGGAGTTAGCAGTGATAATATCACGGAGAACCACAGTGAACCTCACCATGGGTTTCATGTTACTGCAAATTACACGTCCTGTTGCCTCTGAAATGGAGGAACATGATGAAACTGACTGTACACGCAAAAGATCCGCACAGTAGAGCGCATTCCTATTGACTAACAGCATGTGAGACCTTTAGAGACGTCTAAGGTGACATGTATGTTTTCATAATGCTACATGACCCTTATAGTTACCAGTATTTATAACATGTTAACGTACAGTATGAATACACATATTTGTACTGTAAGTCTCCATATTGTTGCCAGGTTTATACAGTTTTATTTGCGTCTCTGAGGTTCATCTACTGCTTTGACTTCTGTTTACTAAAACCCTTCATTAGCTCTCAAAATATCCAACAAATGCACATAAGAGCATAAAATAAGTGGAAAAGAAATGACAAAAAAATATTGTCAAACTTCTAAACATAAAGAGCAAACACTGTACACAGGCACTTGAACTGTGGTACACTCTTTGAGTGCATTCATATAACATCTAATAAGTGCTACAAAATAACATATCAGTTAGAAAATATACTGATTCCAAAAAGTGTAATACTATTCATAATATAAACAAATAGGAAACGTGTAAGGACAAAAACAATTAACAACAGCAGAATGAGGGCAAACGTATCAAAGCCTTATCCTCGAATGTGTCTTGCATATTTTATGTTTATTCTAGTTGTACATTCTTACATTGTGTGTGTGTGTGTGTGTGTGTGTGTGTGTGCGCGTGCGCTTCTGGAGGTCTGATTGGGCCTCAGGGGCAGGAGACATAGTTTTTTTTTTTAATCAACAATCTGGTCACTCATACTGTAGCAGCGTCTGCTTTAATGTCACTGCCACAGCGAGGATCCAATGAATCATACCAGCTCTTTCAGTAGAGGAGTGAATCATCCACTGTAGTCCTGTGTGTGTGTGTGTGTGTGTGTGTGTGTGTGTGTGTGTGNGTGTGTGTGTGTGTGTGTGTGTGTGTGGGGTCACATGTCCACACCAAACGCTTCTGAACTGTGAGCCAAACACAGCAGTTATATTTGTTTCCATTCATGTGACTGCTGCAGCGATACAGGATGGATGACATGTGAAGAGACGAGACAGTTGTCTTGAGGTGTCGATGACCATGTGACCGATTCATACGGAATATAGTGACTCGCTATCTTTATCGTCAGCTATCTAACTGAAGCGTCTTATCAATCTATTGCTCTCTAAAATGTACACAAACCTTACGTCTCTAATTTATTTGCTTTCTTGGAGAAAGTTGGATGAGTCAGTTGATATGACTCAGCCACAGGTTAAGTTATGGCATGTAAACCTCCCTTAGAAAGCATAACCTGTTGTGTTTGACACCTTTGTTCTTCAACTAAATATAAAAGATACTGATTAATGTTCATTTATCAGCCTCCGAGGTGCTGGTAGGCACCTTTCCACAGAGCTAGGGGAGCTTTTTTCCCCTCATTCTCTGTCCAAATGCTAAGCTGGCTGTGGTCTCACTCTTCTCATTTAAGTCATCCAGAAAGCAAATGTACATGCATTTCAACCTCATCTTTCTATCTTTCTACTCTCTTCTATTCTATTCTTAACCTAACATCTGCTTTAAGCCCGTCTACCTACCTACTCTATCATTCCGCTACAGAATCATCTACAAATTGTTTACAGAGACCCCCTGAGGATCTCGTGACTTTTTTTATTTATTTTTTTACCATACCACAATACGAGGGACCCTGAGAAGGTACGTGCCTCCATAGGAATGAACTCTAAAGCATTGCTGTCGAGCTCGGCTACAGTTTACTTCATTTAGTATGTATCTATGTCGACTGCTTGTACAGTTACTGCAAGCAGCAGGTGGTGGCAGCATGAAAGAGGACCTGTGTGATGAAAGGTGTCATCCGGCCTAAGAAGTAAGCCTGGACTAAGTGCTTTTATTTCACCATGGTGATATAGTAAATGTCACTGGTCTCGGTCTTGAATGGGGGATCTTTAATGTCGTGTCGAGGCTTCAAAGGGGGACGGCATCACCCCTCCGTTGTCCGCAGCATTAATCCAGATGAGAGGTGGCTGAGCCGAGTGGAGCAGAGGCTAAATGAAGCTAAAACCCTGAGGTAATTGCTACCTGCCTATCAGGAAGTCTCTCTAATGGGCCCTGTGTGGACGTGAGAGCTGTTAACACAGTTTATTGGGCTCGATAGACGGAGCTGTACGCAAGACTGCAAGGATGAGAATTCGGAGATGGAGGTGGGGGGAGGGTGAAACGAGCCTCTGAGGGGTGTCCCAATTTTTCACTTAGTGAATGTAAATTATGAAAGATGGGATTCCTATCCAGTCTTTTTTTTTTTCCAGTCCAAAATTCATTAACGTGTCAGTGCAATGAGCAGCTTTGTAAGCTGGCTGACGGATGACGTCCCAGCTCCTTTCAGATAGCTTCGCTTCCCTTTATGTCAGCTCGTCGCCAGAGCCAGCAGAGCACCGCGGTCCAGAAATGTTTCTCTGATGTTTGCACCTCCAGGCACTGCTGCTGAATCGGCCACGTAGCCGCAGAATGAAATGAATGCCCCACAAACAAGAGACAAATCATTTTGGGTGTGTGACAGAGTCGACATAGACGACAAAGTGCAGGAACAAGCATCTCGCTGAGACAAACTGGTTATTTGCTGCTGCAGACTTGGATGTGATTAACCTTTCTCCCCGAACATGAGTCAGTTGCATCTCAGACAATGATGCAAACACTTTTTAAGACAAAACGTCATGAAGCATGTCAGTGGTTAAATGATAACAGATCATGGAACTTCAGAGGAAGTTGGGAGTGAGTCACAGCTCCCCCGCTGGTTGCTGTATGACGGCGGGGGCCTAATAGAGCGAAACCCGATGGAGAGAGGGTGGGGAGCCATGGAGGAATATGTGCGAGGGGAATAAAGGCTGAAAAGAAAGAGGAGATAATGGAGTACCTTTCTGCCTATTTACTTTCCAGGCACATATGTTTCATGGCGGAGAAGATGGAAAGCTTAACTGGCAGTTAGAGAGAATGATGTTAAATGTCAACATTAGATACTGGAGTATTCAGTTAAAAGCAGGATGCACTGGCATATCTAGTATAATGTCTCTGCAGGGGCGTTGGTACAGAAAGTGAATGATATTGCTGTAGAGGTTGTGTCCAGGCACACTGATAGATAGAGTCGGACTCTATACGCAGGGATGAAGAGTCGGACTGAGGTTCAAAGCCGCTGGGAGGTCCATGCAAGTCAACTCTTTGCTTTGTGGCCACTTCAGATGAGAATCAGAGTCAGTTTCTCTGCAGTGTGTGCCGCCCCTCCCTCCCTGCTCTGGTTTTGGTCCAGGGTCCAGGTCCACGCTCTCCTCTTCCCTGCCTTCTGCTCTGATGCTGCCCCCTTTTCTCCCCTTCGTCCTCCTCAGACTTCAGGGGGAGGTGAGTCGGGCTGGGGGCCGCCATCCACCCTCACCACTGCAGGGAGACAGTACAGAGAGAAATGTCAGGCTCTGAGGAAAAGACATGCAGGTCATTTGTGGTGGTATTGAAATCAGCTGTGGTTCATTTCTCCTGCTTTTTTAGATCTTATTCACATTCTCACTTGTGCTAACAAAGTCATATTGTGTTTCCCACTGAGCAGCTCCTCTTTAGTAGGTGCTTTGATTAAGGGCACCTTGGTTAGTTTCTGATTCAAAGGCAAATATTTTAGATTATAATTTCCTTAATCTACCAAAACACGCATTTACAAACTTCCTGATAAATGAAATCCCTGATGATCACATTTTTCCCTGCAGGGGGCCCTGTGGTGTCACTCACTCATCCCAACCTGTTTAACTGAAATCATTATAGGCCAAATATGGATGGGAGACAAATTCTCTCTTTTCCCACAAACCTCTTAACCTGCTGTCAATTCAGGGGCGCCATGGAAACGCCTCGGGAATGCAGAGGCATTTCTGAGAGGACCCCTGAGTCCAGTGGGAGTTTTCTCATCTTTATCAATGCATCCTTGTGCCAGGGAAGTGAAGTACAAGAGGGTTTATTTTAGAGCTTCAGAAGAGGGGGTTTCTTTTGTACGTCGCCACAGGCTCCCTCTGTTTACGTTCCTTTTCTCTTCCTAATAAACCGGTCATTTTCCACATACTTTACTGCACTGAGATCTCCATACTCTGCCTCTCTGCTCAATGTATCTGTGCACGTTGGTTCTGTCAGATGATGGTCACAGTCCATCGCACCCCTCTCTCTTTCTTCCTGTTTAAACAGGCGCTCTACAGACACTGTCAGTGACACAGAGCAGAGAGACACTGACGCTGTCTAGAGCCTGGATTCAGGCATATAGGCACCTGTGCTTTAACCTCAGTGTTTCTGGAGTAGCATTGCACCTCATCTTGGGGGCAGCAGTGATAAAAATAACCACATAATAGAGTCCAACCTCATTCCAGGAATCAATACAAGCTGTCTTTCACTGAACCAGTTCAATCAGGTCTACTCTGAAATGTGAACTCCCAACTGCAGCAAAGCATTGTTGCCCACTTCTCTCTTCCTCTCTCTTTTTTTAAATCAGTGCACTCAGGCAGGCCTGATTGGATCCTAAGCCACGGCGAAGCTTGGAAATTTGCTGACTGATGCAGAAATGGAGACGGCTTCATGGTAATCACAAGAAAAGATACTGATGTACTTTTACTAATTAATAGAAAAAAATATATTAGTTGTTCCTCATTTCTTTACTTTACTTATCACTCTCTGGGGCTGTGGTGCATTGCTCAGCTTCATTCATTACTTTTTCACTTAAACCCTTAACTTAACCTAATCTATCCATGATTATGAGTCAGTGGGCTCCTGGGCACAGTTATTTAAATGTAGCTTTAGACATGAATAACAACATCTCAAAGATTCAGTTTAGATTTGGGATCATCTGTTGTTGAGATATATGGAAGGTTTTTTTTTTGTTGCTATCAAATTAATCAACATTAAGACATTAGACATTAGCAGCAGAATGTAAGAAATAATGATGATTGATTCTTTCACAAACTAACTGATACAGACAATGGATTCAGTGGGCTCAAACTATTTAAAGAAGTTCCAGGAACTTCCCTTCATCCAACATGTGAAGCACAGACATCGGCTTACAGAGCATATGTGAAGGAATCTGCTACAGATGATATCATTTAATCCTGCTGACATCAGCCATTTTTTAACAGCGAGTCAGAGTGTTTTTAAAAAGTAAGGAGGAGATAGAAGCTTCAAAAGTAGATTTGTTCGCATTTCAGCTCAATGAATCCAGGTATTTTGCTGCCAGGGAACCAAATTAAACCCCATACCTAGTATTGACAGATTCTGAAGTGTCAAGACCTCCCCACTTTTGACTGTTACCATGGCCAAGAAGGTTATGTTGTCATGGCCATTTGTCTGTTTGTTTCTGTTATTTGGCAGGATAACACAAAAACTACACAAATTCTTAAAACGTGGTGGAAGTAGTAGGGAGTAGGGGCGAAGAAAAAGTTTCACGGTGGGTTTAATTTAATTGGGCAGGTGCAGGAGGTTTGTTTTTTAAAGCCATATAAACTCTGCTACGAAGATCACAGGATCATGATTACAGCAGCACGACACCTAGCAAACTCTCTTGACATCTTTGTCTGTTTCTTCTATGAGTGTGACAACGTTTTTTCACGAGGAGATTTGCTTCCTTTTTGTTTCTTGATTTTTTCGTCTATCGCGCATTAGAAGCATCATCAGCTCCCCCTGGATTCTGTCAATGAACAAGGGGAAATAAACGTTGCACATGTCCTCCCAATTAAACCCATATAAGGTTGGGTATACTTTTCCTCCTTCCTGATATGTGAGGATGACAAGCAGCTATGAGGCATCCCTCCTCTATTACTGAAACTGCATTTGTAATTCATTACATGAATCAGCTCATTGTTACTGTAACTATCAGCCGTATAATGAGATAGTGTTGAACTCCTGCGGGCCCCTGAGGCTTTCATCCACAATCACAAACGTATAGTAAAGCTACGCTGAATCTACTTGATGATGGTTGATTGTGGTACTGAAATAAAGCCTGATTTATTTTGCTGTGGCATTCAGCCAAAGTTGTGGACTTTCAGCTGCTTTTTGCAACAACCCTGAGCCTCCCTTATACTGACAGTTGCACTGGTTCTATTTTGTGTCGCCTGTGAGGTCAAACACCGGGCAGGAATACACATTTAGGGCGATTTGAGTGAGGGGACAGAGTCCTGTTTAAATTTTAAACTCATTCAATATGCATGACTCAGAGGGGGAAGCAGAGAGCAAAAAGAAGGTTTTGGGGGGGTGGCGGTGGCTGGTTGTTGTTTTTAATGGAGATGAGCAGACAGAGAGGAGGCTGAGCTCCCCTCATGTCGGAGCTAACCCCAGTGACTCAAGCTGGGAATAATCTCTCTGCATGTTGTCAGTCAAAACATGGGGCGTTTTCATTACTCTATTCCTCGTTTTTAAAAGCTTATCCATCTTGTTTTGACTGAAGGTGTTACCATTATTTTAGCTGCCAATAAAATATGGTTCGTTGGAAACAGGAAACCCCCTGCGATTATCGTGGATTTATTCTGCGTATTTCCCAGCCCCTTGTGCATTTTAAAACATCCCAATCGGTTGTGGGAGAACCTACAACCCCCCTGTGTGAGGGCGCCGTTAGCTGCCTTTTTATTGGCTTCCGCACCCGCAGACAGTGCTAATGCCAATTAGCACATGCTAAACGCTGATGCTGGATCAGACTTTGAAAGGCAGTGAGACGGAGACTGGATCCAGTCTTGTAACACCTGCTAACGAGCCAATCAGTTCATGAGGCTACAGGGTAAATGGGGCAGTCATCCTCTCAATGAACCAATCATGAGCTGTTCCTCCAAAAGAAATTCCTTTTCTTCCCCCTCAACTTGGTTTTTGTTGAGTGGAAGAATGGAAAGAGGGACTCAAACAAAACACAAAAAAACTAAATAAGCTTTTCCCAAGCCTCATTAGAATGTAATGGCTATCCTACACAAAACACAGTGCTGTGGATTGTTTCAGGGAGGATTTGTTGGCTGTGTGGCTTGTTAGCACATTATTATCCCTGTAAAACCATTTCTTAGGCTTTGCACAAAAACAGCCTATGGAGGGAGACAAATGAAATCCAGAGAAAGAGAGTGAGGGAGAGAATCATCGATGAATAACAAGATCATGACTGAACTTGAGACGTCTTCTTCAAGTGAAAAGCCTCTCAGGTTTATGAGTATACATCAAGTGAGAATACCGCTTTCATCTCTTTAATGTACTGTAAGTGCTATTTGAGTACTAAGGGAAGATATACTGCTCTTTGTTGTACAGAGGTCACATCTCACTGCAGCAGCGTTTGCTTTTTATTCCTCACTTGGCTGTTTAAAGGTTATCCTCCTTCTGCAGCCGCTCGGTGCAGCTTCCCCACCCCGCAGCCGATCCTTATTTCATCAGTGCACAGTGTTGGTGAGCAACATCTCTAGATCACATTTATTGATTAGGGAAATATTCAAAGAAAATAAACATCTACAGCAACGTTTCTACTGGTCACTAACATCCACTAACATCTGCTTTGTTTCTGCAATGAGAATAGATACATTTGGCATTCACTCACAGGTCAAATGATTGCAGTAGATGGAGGTTTAAATCAGTTCCAGCTCTGATGGCAGTGGTGGAAACATGATACTAGGATGAACATGCTAATCTCGTCTTCTTCCTCTAGATATTGGCATTCTGGATGCTGCACCTTTTCCTGTGCAACGTTATGACTTGACAGGCGTTTCGTATCGTTGCAACACTGGCAAGAGAGCAAGGTTTCCGACACGGTGCTTTGTGATGTCAAACATGACTCAACATGGAAAACAAACACAAAGGCAAACTCCTCTACTGGCAACAGGAAAGGAGACCAATTTTAAAACTTTCAAAAACAATTTTTGTGCATGCACTAGTTCCTTAAACATGTTAATCCTCAATCTGAAAGTATTGTCCCTGAGAAACTGAGAACTTTATTTACACTAATGTTTGATTTAAAAAATACACTACCCAGCAGTTTTAGGAATTTACTGAGCTATTTGAAATTATGACACAACATTTTTAAAATCTGATCTGGTTTGGGGCTAAAGTCCGCAGGCAAGGAAACTGAACCGTATTTAGAGATTAATTTATTTGACAAAATATTAAATAAATACAAACAGATAACTGTAAAAAGAAAAGAAACTTAAAATGTCCTTTTTAGAGAGTTTATCTCTCACAATGTACTGCACTAAATAATATGCTTCATCATAGATCGATAAAGTGCATAATGTTGGTCCCTTCAAATCAGGCACAATCTTCTGAGTTCATCTTACAAAACCTTATAGATTTCCCTGCTTTGCCAGACTACGTGGCGAAATCTGTCCGAGACCTCCACCCTGAATACTTCACGAGTTCCCTGAGACAGATATAGACATGGAGGAGTGGGCAGATCAGTAAAGGCGAATATAGATCAAACATATGCAGTTACATGCCCTCCTTACATCAACACTTCTGATATGTACAGACTGAAACCGTGATACGTCTGTCAACGAACCTCTGCCTCATATTGAGAATATAATGGTCTTCGGTACATATTCATGTTTCTGCAGTGCCTCACAATCGTAATCTCTACATTCCTGGAGTCTTATCCATCATGCGTGCATGTAAGACTTGGCCTGATCTTTCTGCTATTGGCAGCTATAGGTGTTAGTCAGGTGATATATTGTTTTTGATCTCGATCCTCAGAAATGTCTCCTCCATCTGAGGAAAAACTACACACGATCCCACCAGAGCATATTGATTTCTTTGATCATGAATTTCTCTGGAAGCAAGAATATGACAACGTGAAAGAGGAATGTTTTCATGCCTCGTTTTAAGTTAGAGTTTCTTTGACGAATACGTATTTAGATCTCTTCTCTTTATGCACACTTTATTATGTTAATGTCTAAAGTTGCACATCTTCAATGATCCATAATGACAGAGTGGAAGTGGTAAGGTAAAGATTGATTTCCAGGCTCACCTATCTGTTCCTGTGTGTGTAAGTGTGACGGCTGAGTCTGGACTTCAGCCTGGGCCTGCTGCTGCTGCTGGTGCTGCTGCTGCTCCTGCAGACTCTGACTGTCCACCGAGATGCCGCTGTCGCTGTGCAGCTTCTCTCCCTCCGGCGTCACCATCTGGTTGTTCGTGGCCGCTCGGTTATTTGCTGCCTGCTTGTTCTGCTTGCAGCTATTCCACCTGCGGAGAAATGGCACGTCAGAGGACACGATACAGATATGTGAGAGTATCTGATTGTTAAATATTTTGATTTCACAGCTATAGAGTGACGACTGTAACATCAGCAGTTTTTTTCCAAGTGCAAAAATGGAAGGGATTGATTATTCTGTGTGTTTGTCTTCTTGCATCTGCAATACCAAGCATGTCCTACATACAGTAACTGAATATTACTTCCGACACATCAGCTGCATTTTATTCAATATGGGAATTTGACACTTTTCACTATGCCCAACAAATAAAAACTTGTATCTGTCGTCAATAGAAATAAAATACATTAACTGAGTGGCCAAACAAACAAAATACAATTTATTATCATAAGTATCATCACACAATACTCAATGTCTTCTACATGGATCAACACCTGGTGAAGATGTTGAATTTCCCCCCCGATATGGACCTTCTAACCTCATTCTAATCATTCTGATCATTCTATATTTGATCTGCACCAAAATGTAATGCATTCTTCCCTGATCCATACAGTACAGTGTAAACTTGCCCAGAAACAAACCAGCCAACATACAAATAGAGGTGGGTGAAAACTTTTTGGAGTACAAGTGAGTGTCTGACTGTCAGAATAACATGCTGTTGTCAACCTTTACCCAGAATCAAAGACTCATTGTTAGACATTACTATGAATTTCAAAGCTAAATCTGCCGTTATTGTCTTTGAAACTTAAAAAATCAATTGTTTGCCTCAGAATGGAACAGAAATCAGGAGGATAAAGATGCTCTGATAAGCTCCAGAAAGGATCCTCTACTGAGGTTTTTATTCAGGAGAAGATTGAGTCATGAATCAATGATTAAAATATTCATGAAGTATCGAGTGGTACAGTACAGTTAACACCTCTAAGTGTTTACTTATGAAATATTGGCCATTGAGGAACTTCACATCATACGCAGTGTGTTTATGTATGACATAAGTGCACGAGGAGTTTTAGCCAGATGTGTGCGTGACTGCTGATGAATCTGGCACTCAAATTTCCCCTGGTCGGCACTTTTCAAAAGAATCAATGCCTCTAATGAGCTTGTTTACTTGCTCCAAATGTGTTTTAGCACAGACTTGTATCTGTCTGCCTGAGTGCTTGCATGTGTTGTTGCATGTCCTCACTAATGTGTTTGTGAGTGTGTGACCTCTGCAATGAGGTCAAACAAGAGTTGACTTTCTTTTTGTTGTGGTTCTTTTCAAGAAAAAAGAATCATGGTGATGTGTGAGTGATTCTCAGAAAGTGGGTCAAAACCTCTCCCAGTCGTGGCAGGCCTGAATATTTCACCAGCCACCTTCCTGCCGTTTTGTAGCTCCGGGGCGAGACCTGTCACTCACCCACCAGACTACCACCACTCTGTCCTAGATTATATAGTGATGGACGTTCAAAACGCAATTATGCTAATGTCTTTAGCCACACAGAAGCTTTTCATCTCAGTCCTTTCCCCCCCTCAAACTGACCTCTTAAAAACAATGTACGCCACCAGGCCCACCACCACTGCGGCCAGGATGGAGCAGTAGATAGGGATGAGGTTTTCGTTGAGGCCGTGGCCGAGGAATTGAGGGGAGCCGGCACTTGACGTGGTCGTCTCTCCGCTAGGCAACGGGCTGTCGGAGCCATCTGGGGGGAAGTAATTGGTGAATGACGGCAGTGACGGACCCATGTCAGAGGTGGGAATTATATCTGTGGGTTGGTTAGGATCTGTGTGGAAGGTGAGAGAAAGAGCATTGATGAGAAAAGAAATACAAGATACAATATGTATCTTTATCTGGCAGTAAAGATAATGACGCTGCACTTTTTTCTCAAAATCAACAATTTTGATCTTTTCAAATCATCAGTGACTGTTATAAACCATTTTGTAGCGTGCAGTAGTTTCCCAAATTTGTTAATCCACAGTCAAAAAGTACCGTACCTGAGAAATACTTTGTTTATTCACACCCAGCTTTTCAAGATTACCAAACTTTTATATAATAATATAATAAAAAATGAAACTACATACTTGTGATCCAATTTTTTTTATATCTATTACTTATATGCCTATACTTATATCTGTAGTTATGTTAGGATATGTGGGAAACAAAATGAGAGAAAGGAGAAAATAATGACACCAAGATACAAAAAGAGAATGAAACAAGACTAAGATCATACAGCCACTTATTGGTGTTGAGCATATATGAGGTTTTATTCATTTTAACCATTTAAAGGATATTTACCTTAATTGTTTACCAACAGTTGCTTACTTGCACTCAAAACTAAATTCCAACCTCACAGTCAAAGTCAAGTGAGAATCAGACACCATTGATATCTGCACCAATTCTTCCAATAGATATTTCAGTTAGGACCAACTGACAGATGCTGCCGTCTCTGGAGCTACACAACTGACATGACATGACATGACATGACATGACATGACAAGACACTTTCATATCTTCACTGAGAGCTTGTTTGCAAGGCTGTAGTCACGGAATCCCCAACCAGATGTTCGATACAGCACACATGCGGCAGCTGCTTCTGATAGAAAAATGGGTTCTGGCTGCGTTGCCCGGTGCAAAAGTAAAAGGAATGTTCCTCTGTGAACAATCAAATATCTGTGGCCACCAGTCCAACTCACACCCTGTCAGCACCCGGCACGACTGGTCTTCTCTCACCACATCCCATCTTTTCTATTACTGCACATTGCACAACATTAAGGTCATTTGGGATCATGCAGAACAAAGTCTGGGACCACAGAGAGGTCATCACTTTGAGAAGCAGGAAGGCTCTGGACTACTGGATGGATCTGCTTTCTATCATTGCTGAGCCTGTAAAGACGAGCCATTTTCATAAATTGTGCTATTTCCTCTTTCTGTTTGAGCTCCATTAATGATTCAGTTTAAGTTGCAGCAGCACCGTGCCCACTCTGACGGTCATGAAGTGTCCTGAAAACAAAGTTCATCCATCAGATCTCTCCTACGGTCCTGTCACATTATGCTTCTGTTTTGAAAAGTGCTGTATGAAACACTGCAGCGATTCTGTGCCACGGTAGAAAGGTCCACCATGATTTCTTCCCTCGGGCTTCGGTAGCAAGATGAGGAGACAGGGTCTGTCCGGCCGAAAACTCCTCAGAGTTCAGCAGACTGGTGGGGATAGAGAATGTGCAGCCTGCTTCAGATCTGAGCCTGTAATTCCCAGCAGAACCTCAGGCTGCTCCTCATTAGCTCCGTACTGGTGCTCACAGGATTAACCCCATGGAGACCCCTGAGGCTTTCCCCAAGGCCAAAGACTGGGACTTTCTATCCAAAACTTCAAACCAGTTGTGACGCAGGTTGCCCCGCTTCTGTTTTTAGCTTCATGAATCCCAAGTTTGATGGATAAGAAAATGATTTTGAGTGAAGGAATCAAATCAAACTGATTGTCATGTTTTATAAAGTACCAGTATTTGGTAGATTATATGTCAATGTCAGTCTCTAAGGTGTGTAAGAATTTACTGGATGCATTAATATTCAGAATATGTTCAATTAAGTCATGGCTGAATTCACAATGTGGAAATGTATCAATTGCAAAATGGACGTATTTTAGGTCACCCGAATAATCTGCTGTCTAGTAATGCATATGCTTCCATTTTTATTTGTTGCAGGGTATTCTGTGTTTCTGCACCCAACCCAAAGCACTGGTGGTAAATAGATTTGAATTTTCAGTGCTCACAGCTTCACAGCACCGAAAAAACATATTTCAATAATTCAATAGCAGTGTATCTGATTAGTGTGAATAATCCACAGAACTGTCAACAGTTTTCATTGGAACCACTTGCAACTGAAGAAATCATCCCAATGAAAACTATTGGCAGGATTATAAAGGGATCAAGACATTGTTTTAACAAAGACATGTTATTGTTGGATTTTTACCACCCCTGTCTGTTTGCTTATTGGCTTCTCTATTTTACGCAAACACTACTGAATGGATAACGATCAAACTTGTTGGAAGGATGCACTATGAGAATAAAAACAAAAACAAGCATGTTTAGGAGACTGATACAAATCCAGATCTAGTGAATTTAAGTGTGGTTTCATGAGGGGGCTGTTGGACCTTGGCGGAGGTATGCACTCTACTGAGTGCCATTCTTTTAATGATACATTTCATTGATTTTAGCATCTTATATTTCAACCACTTTTACTTTTGAGACAGATATATCAAAATCTGGATAAATCCCCTCAGAAACCACTGACCAAATACAGATACAATAATAACATAAATTAATAGTGGTATTAGTTTGTGGTAAATGTGAAACATTATTATTTATGTATATATATATCTATACATACATATTTAAAGCATATATCTAAGACACTAATTGCTGTGAACACAGATGTGGTCAGATGAGAGTCTACCAAAAAAAAAGGCATTCATTGGACCAGCATGGACAAACGCTGTCTACAAGGATATTGTCTTTTCACTGACATGGCAGATAGTCAGGTTTCTCACATTGATTTGTTGCATAATTCACACAAGGTTGCTCCCCTTAATAGTCCGATGGGACCTTGATGGGCAACTTGTGTGGATGTATTTGAAAACTTCTGTTGGTCATTAAGAGTCTGCATTGGTCTGTGTGTCTGTGTGGTGATGACGGGGCATTCCTACCCCCCCGTGGGAGAGATTGGTTTACTGAAATGTTAGAAAATATCTTTCATGGACAGAAAAACACAGCACATGTGCGCGCCATAGTTAGAAACAGAGAAATAATGCAGAGGCCTATTTAAAGCTGAGCTATTGATTTGGTTGGGTCTAAAAGGAGGCAGCATTTTAGAGGAGTGGAACATGGTCGTCTGTATTACATGCTTTTCTTGACCTTTCCTGGGACGTAGTCAGGTTTCCTCAGCTCCGCCATACATCATCCGGCTAATGCAAGCCTGGCTAATGGTGTTAGCTATGCAACACGAGCTTGCTAATAGAATAAATTGTGAATGGAAAGTGTGAAAGTGAAGGGACGTATGCAGGATTAACCTTCATCCTTACAGCTTTACCTTTATCACACTGAGTCATCCTAAACAACTCTAAGTGCTTTTCTTTAGTGCAGGAACATTCCCTTTATGCACCTCTACACATGCACTAGTTGCACCACAGGACTCACTATAAACAGTTTCCCGTTCTGAGGAGAGATGTCACATAACAGTGACTCAACAGGGCTTGAGCTTAAAGCACAGTGCTTCACATTTTTAGTGAAACTCCTCCTCTTTTCTCCTCTATTTTTCGGGGCTGATGTGGAAAACACGGCCAACAATATAGACAAAAGGCTGCATACCTCCGCTGGAGCAGAATGGGAGCTTAAAGGCGGCGGTGGAGATTTAACAATTTCATTTTGGCTTCAGTGGGTTTAAAACACTCATGAAACAAAATAAAACTAGCCCAGGATTTTATGAGCGTGGGGCCTTGTGGGCAGGGGGATGTGTTTATAAGTGGGGTGTAGACGAGAGGGGCAGAGAAAAAAAAAAAAGAAAAAGATTTAATTTTTATGGGCCATTGAGGTCTTTATGGTGAAGTTAACCCAAGGGTCCTGTGCTGAGGGTGATGTCTCAGCTGCTGCCAGTTCAGGGCGGAGATGAGCAACTATCCGACTCGGCACATGTACAATGATCTCTTTATCAGCCGCCAAACACTCTCCCTCTGTCTCAGCTCAGCCTCTATCTCAATCTTCTTCAGTGTTGGTCGTCTGACATGCACACATCCATCTCACACACACACACACACACACACACACACACACACACACA